AGCATATGATTACTGGCAGGATCAACCAGTTTACACAAAGAAAAAGTTATAAAGTCTAATGTCGCAGAGACCCCTGCGAGCACTAGAACTACTTTCTCTACTTCCGGGAACCCGGGAGCGCCAGCCGTGTTACACACACAGCTTCTGCTACACTCTCATTGGACCAATCTCCGCCATCAGCGGAGCAGCTCCATCGCAATTTCTACTGACTGTAACGTCTCCACCACGCCAAAAAGGCGCCTTCAGCTATGATCGCATATTAGCGGTACACCCTGACTGCCAGATTCGCTCGCGAGCACTATTCGGCCTATACGAACGCTCGCCGAGTAACACAGAGTCGCACAAACCCACCGAGAATCCCCGTGAGTTGTACTGGTAAATATACCGGGTTGGAAAATCCACAATACCTTCGGTTTCTGTCGCTCGTTGGAGAGAAAAGCTCTTATTGGTGAATAGATCGTCTTCTTCCTCTCTCTTTGGTCGTCGTGCCTGGCTAGCATTCGTTGAACACGGCCTCCAGCACCGCCTTCAACCCTCACTTCGTGTTGAGCGAGGCCCAAGCTGCCTCAATGACTCTCACCCTCACCGCTTACTGGCGATCGGCCGAAGTGCGACCGATGCGAGCGCGACGCTTCAAAGCATGCCCGTATTCTGTGTGCTCGAAGCCTGCCAGCCCGAGTCGCCCTCTCCAGTCCGTCGGCCAACAGACCGGACGCCGCGAGACAACCGACGCGACGCTGTGAGCTGTGAGCCGAACTGACTTGGATCCGCTAAGCGAAGCAAGCAGGCAGGCTGACGCGATGTGTCCAAGAAGTACGGATATTATCGGTGAATGGTGCCGTGTGAGTCACTTATCCGCTCATTATCGGAGTGAAAGTTCGGGAGGGTCGACATCTGTGAGGTTTCCGCCGTGAGAGGCTAGTGAAAAGACGATGTTCTCCGAGGAGAGCCACCTTAAGAATGCTCGACGTGATCGGTGAGTTATGATATGTCGGTCTGTGATCTAGGACCCCGAAACGGTAAGGCCAGGATGACCGCCCTGATCTTCGGTCATTTCTCGGCCGGCGTTCTGAGTTCCTCCAAGAAAATCGTTCCAAGCGCAGGCTCCCTGAGAGTTAGGCCTAGATCGGGCTCCCGTCCCCGATAAGACTGATACCGATAGAAAGAATCGTCCGAAATCGCGAGTGGCTACGCTAGTGAAATTCCTGGTTGAAATCCCGAAACGCGAGGTAGCCATCGGGTCTGGCTGGATACGGTGACGCTTTTCTCCGCAAGGAAGTCCGTGCCCGTAGGCCTCGCACAGAATATACGGGGCTGGAGCTCAAATGCTCGAGCCGAGCGGCTCTGTCTGAGACGCGCCCTCAATGTCCTCATGCAGCGTAGCCACGTGCTTTACGAATCTCCTCGAAGCACAAGGGCTTCAGCAGAGCAAGGATGCCTGTGATTACTGCTCAGTCGGCCTCGTGGTCGGTAATCGAATCCAAATTCGCGTTCGAGTTCCGAAGGTCTCGGCTCTAACCATATTTGGTACCCGCTGTGATCTCGCAGAGAATGTCCGACCCTTCTAAATGTATCCCCATCTCTAAATCCGTTTTAACATCGAGTCGCTCGCTTCCCCAGGTGCCTGCTCGTTCGGCTCAAGCCCATCGTCATCTCCATTGATGTTGATCGTGAGCAGACGACGTCACGGTAAGTTTCTATCGAATGCGGGCTGACACGAGGGCCTCCTGCCGAGACTCGTCTTGGAGATATGATGATGAAAACTTCCTGTCCCTATTTCAGGTGGTGCTCGGCGTGTGGAGGTAGAGGGTATCTGTAAGAAGGGTTTCTCGGCGACACATCGCGAAGAAACTGCGAAACGTCTGTGACGCAGAAGTCGTTCGCAATGCGGAGAATACCCCGCGTGTGGAGAGTACGAACTGGCGCTCTAGATCATCATGCATGGAAGAACCTGCCTACAGAAGACATCGGGCCGGTGGTCAGAGCGTTCACGATGCCAGGTTGGTGGTAGCGTACCATGGATGGGGATCAAGGCCGACGTGAAATGATGAATATCTATTGGATGATGCCTACGGGAGACAAGCTCGGCTGAGATGGGCCCGATTCCGCCCGTATGCTTTTTCCCGTAAATAGGGATGGAGAGTCTTGATCTCTGACAGCGCCCTTCGTCTTTCCAGAAACGCATCTGCTCCTCACGAGTTCCGCTCACCTTAGGGGGGAAATATCGCGAGAGCTCTCTTCAGAAGGAGACAGAGCTTAGAATCCGTGGCTGATCGTGGTGATCAATATCGGAGCTCGACCTCTCGGAATTCCTTTCGAAATCTAACCGAAACTGAATTCACCAGACCAGCTCTTCCCGGCAATGATTTCTCGTCGCTTTATCGCAACGAGTTCCTATTGTTGGAAGTTTGCCCCGGCAACCATGGCGGTACTTTGTCCATCTCGGGCTCTCGGAGCATGGATTCCACCGAATACGATACCGCCCGACCGAACTTCTTGCATCATATTCAGGAATTTTCTGAGAATCGCTCCTCCGGGACCTAATTCACCGGAAGACGAAGACATGCCCGTATCAAGGAACGAAGCGCCGTGGAGTCAACGGAGCGCCTCCTCGAAAAATGGGAGCGTGAAACTCTGGATCCGCTGAGCCAACTCGCGCCAGAATCGAAAGGTTGATGTGTACATACTATGATACCATCTGATCCAAATAAACCATTAAACAAGGGAGGACCAAACTGCCTCTCGGTGCGCGGCTCGGATGGCCCGGTCGGTCACTGCCCAACCCCAGCCTGTCCTACCGGAAAATCTGACAAGAGTCTCGGAGGTCATCGCTCATCGCCCAGGGCCGAATCTTGTCCGGTGCCCGAGACGGGTCATGGTGCAAATCCGGATCCTGGCTAATCGCCGCTTCAAGGCACTCACTTAGAGGTCTAGGCTCCGGGCAAAGATTCTGCAGGCAACGCCCATGATGGGCGTCGATATCGAGCGGGCAGGCTCAGGCTTGGAATTTGGAATGTGACCGCGACTGACGCGTCATCCGGCTGTCAAAAATACGCTAGTACGGACGCTACGGCACACCCAGTTACAGCATCATTGGCGATAACTTACGCGCGGCTGCTCTCGAGGTAGAGCCGGAAGAGACGTCGGAATACAATGAGTTCGTTGACGGTTGAAGGCTGTGAAACTCATCAACGAGGTCGGGAGCCGAACCCCCGCATTGACGCGCACCCGCATGGACAACGAGGGAAGGCTTGACTTATCGGTGACAGCCTGACGCAAATCGAGGCCACCAGGAGCTCAGCTCCCTGACTTGCTGATCCCGCTGCCGTGGCCAATGCCCGTTTATCGAACCATTCTCATCTACGAAACAATCAAGGTTGAACGAATCGCGGAGCACATATTCTAAATGAGCTTTGATAATAAAGTGTGAGTTTCAGAAGTAGTCCTATTCGAATGATGAAAAAACCCTGGGAGGAAGTCTCGATGAGACAACTTATGAGGCTGACCTACCTATGAGAACGTCTTCGTCCCACAATGAGTCGTTTCCTTATGGAAATATGCGTACAGTTGCGATATGAGACGACAGTCTCATCCCGAATGAAGGACAATGTCCGCGCGGACCTCGGGACGGAGAGTGGACATCGAAAACGGACGATTTCTCCTACGTATTTGATCCGTTCTGTGGGTCTACTCCATTTCTTTAAGCGTCTTTGGAATAGGTGCCATCTCCTGAGAAATCCCGAAAAGCGGAACCTTTCTGTGAGACTACGAGGACCGGACAAAGCGGTCGAAGCAGCACGTGCCCTCATATACCGTAACTCTAAACATGAGAGATATAATGACGACTAATCGGATGATGATAATATGATGAATGATGATGATTTAGGTCACCCTTGACTCCTGAGCTGAGATGCTTCCGTCTTCTTCACTGACAAAGAGACCCTCAGCCTCTCAATTTCTACCGTTCGCCTCGCGCGATGCATGTATCCTACATGGAGTTGAACAGATCTGCGTGTTCCTGTGACCGGTTTTTCGAGGTCTCTCAATCGCCAGGAGTTCGACATGCATCAAGTACGAAGACACTCTGAGATTCAATACTTCTCCTGATGAGCCGGAATGTCTTGTGATCGCATTCCTCAACATTCCGCCGATAAGCAACGATGAGGGCTAATTTCGGGAAATTTGCGTTTCGCGAACAGAGCTAGGTGATCCTCCGAATCAAACTAAATATATCGCATGGTCAGCACACGGAGCTCACATGTACACTCGGCTTGCCACCTAGCCCGGTTCACGGGGATCTCGGTTGAGAATAATCTCGAATCCGTTCTTCATTCGAGATGAAAAATAATGGGGATGCTTTCCTTTCCCGTGGAGCACCGATTCTCGGTGATCTGACAGGAACCCAGAGTGAGCGTCGCTCACGATAGTTTGGCTTGAGTCTTCGAGTTACTGTCGATTGCGTCCCTTGAGGCCGTTCACGACTCATTCTAGTCGCGTTGGTCGATTTCATCCGAGGAATCTGACAATCGAACGCGACCGTAGAGAGCCAAGTGTATTGACAGGGGTACCTGGGATGCTGCTCGCAGATGCCCGGATGGAGCGCGACCCATATTGACGAACAATTGAGATGCGGGTTCCGATGTAAAGTTTAGAGGCCTCCGACTCATTTTCCGAATACTGCCCGGACCGGCGAGGCTCAGAGAGAGAAAAAATCCTCCCGGGAGGGGGGAAATCAGATGGCTCAAGCATTACGTATTTCCTTTCGATGTCACACTTTTTGATTGTGAGAGAAATTTTTCGCTAAGAACGGGCCAGGAAGAATTGTATCCGAGGAGAAACTCGTGCTTACGCTTAATCTCTCCCATAGCAAACCTCGGGGAAAATGTCGAAATATTTCCGCGGGTCGGCCCGAACCTGAGGGAGCTTATGATGCCACACGAACCACAAGTATCGCTCGCCATAGCCATCATGAAAGATTTCTTTGAATGACTCCACGAGTATGCGCGTCAACAACTCGAATTCCATGTCAGTGTTTCCTGCGCATTCGCAGTGGACCCACATCCCGGCTCCGATATTGAGACTGATCCAAATGCAGATCACCAACCGACAAGACTCGACGGCATTCAATACGGAACTCGTTCAATACGGGAGTGAATTCGAGTCAGGAAACTTCCCGACTTCCGCGGGAGATTCGGAATTACCCGGAGTCTCCGACCGCCGTCAAGATCACCTTATAGATACCCTATGGACGCCGAACCCCAGCCATTCGGGATTCGAGGCTCGCGATCGTCAACGCGATCGGCCCCGGATGTCGATGAATGAGTCGAGAGTCTTCAGATGTGAGCATTTGGGAGCTGTAGCCCAACCGAACTTCGACCCACGGGGCTCCGGGACCGATGAGCCGGAACCCGATACTCATTGCACGGATATTAACTGCAGAATCTCCGGGCTCGAAAAATCTGAGGGATATCGGCAGTTGATCATAGACGACACGTGACGGACATTTCAGTGTCTTCGTTATCTACGATAATTTCTTCCGACTACGACACCCCTTCATATAGGCTGCCGCCCACTTCGTTCACCCGAATGATATTGCACCTACAGGAGCACGGATGAGAGAAAAATGAGCTCTGACGAGACGCTACAAATGAGCGCGATCGCGAAGGATGCTGGATCGCTCTGTATCGAGACGAATCCACCTGAGGCGACATGTCCATGTTATCTCGTTATCATCATCTCCAATACGGAGGCGCGTCCGGGGGACGCCGGCGTCACCGAATTCTTTCCACATTGGCTCCTGGGAGTAGCAAACTCACTCGTGAGTTGACCGCGCTCCGTTTCCAGCTTCGCTTCGCCAATCGGAAAACTTGCGCGAAGAGATGACATGATTTCATCAAGATTGACTCCTCGATCAAAAATAGGAGCACCTCCATCTCATCTCTTCCTCAGGGTCGGCCCTCTCCACTGCATAGTTTCGGGCTCCCCGTCATCGAGACCGACTTCAGCCTCGGGCCTCGGGACCTAATCTCACCGCTTCATTCTCGTCGCTTCTTCCCTCCCAATCGACGTTGGCACCGGGCAACGTGGTACTCCCTCGGAAGGGAACAGCAAGAGACGGAAAAGACGAGATCACGAAGCGGAACGGCGATTTGGCGTACGTGGGGGGCTATGCGGTGTGGCCGAGCACATTCCGGTATGCTCTTCATGCCGGAAGCCCCGAAGCAACAACTCCGGGATGAGGAATATTTATCGAGGACCCAGCGAGAAATAGAGGGGAACTACATAGCTCCTAAGGAACAAACTCCAGCCGAATCACAATCGCTCCGATAAGAGAAGACGGAGAACCTGCAGATGAATTCCGCCGATCTTTAGGAGGGAGGGAATCGAGCGAGCGATCGAGGGGTCAGCTAGCTGATGCACCATCTTTTCAATGAGACTCTGCCGCAGGAATAGATAAAATTGGTAAGTGGGTGAGTGTCCTGGCATCTTGACAGGGAAGTGGTTGAGGACGGGGTTTGGATCCCCCGACCAAATCGAAAAACTCGTCCATTTTGATGATTGGAGGCTCTGGAACCTACGTCCGTTTCTAAGCGGCATCTGAGTGGGGGAAGTCCGTCCGTCCCTCAAGGTCAGGACTGGGTCACCCCAAGGTGACTCTCCAAGTCTGGCTGATTGTGAGCAAGATCCGGTAAGCACGAACAACCTCGTTGCTTTACTCGGGGGCGAGTAGAGGAAAGAGGGATTCGTGGTGAGACATGAGACGTGAAAGGCATGCAGATGCTTCCTTCTCCGGAGCAATATCGAAACCTCAATAGGAGGACAAAATTATTTCAGCGATTTTTTCGATGGATTCTCGTGCTCTGGATGAGGCGCGGCACCACGAGCTTTCTTTAAAATTGATGAACTCAATAAGTGAATTTTGACTCGGTCGTATCGATTCAAATCGCAACTTTCCGGGTCGCTGCGTTTCTATTTTCCGGGTCTTCCGGCTCTCATATTCAAGCTCACCGGCCAGTTATATTACTGTCCTTAATTTTGAGAAGTGGGCCTAAAACGACTGGATTATTTCGTCCCTTAAAAATCGATATCTGACAGCTCTGTCGTGGCGCCGAGTCGCCGCAAACTTCTAGTGAAATCAGAGGATGATCCTCTCGGATCGACCTATCCGACCAGAATCCAAGCGGGATCTCTCAGATTCGCGATTCAGAAACGACGTTCTTGATCGTCGGGGGCAGGGACGGCAAGATGATAGGAGAAACGGCGCGGCAAGAGAGCGACTAGGATCTCCGCCACTGAGACGGGGAAATCGAATAACGAAAGAGGTACACCAGAGACTCATTGAAAATTCGTCGGAGGCGACCGCAAGGATGGAACATAAAAATTAATTCGATTCGAGCTCAGGATTCTAATCACGGTCGGCAGAATGATCAATTGCTCGAGGATTAGCTTCAAAGGATGTGCCTTGAGCGAGGGATTCTGCGGGCCGACCTGGGATCAACCCGTGTAGATTTTCGCCGCTGGCCAGTGAACCGCCGAGACGATTCGCCGCCTGCCAGTCAACTGCCGAGGCGATTCGCCGCCAAGCCCTGGTATCAAACCGTGGACCACTCATAATGAGTGACTCATTCAAGCTGATGCAAAGGGTGGGACACGGATAAATCGAGGTCAAGGCATTCCGCGATTCCGACTGACCTCGAAGGAACTCGACCCACCCAAGGACTCCGGATATCGCTGA